CTAACAGTCCTTAAGTGCTTAGGATGTGCACAAAACACTTCTGTGTGCTTCGTGTATAATGAATGACCCAGAGATCTACACCACTGAGCTTGTTAACTTTGCTGTTTTGATGACAGGGAACGCAGCACAGAACCTTGAACAAGCTGTTTTAGGTCTCTTGGTGACAATGACAAAGGTGACTTTTGAACCCAGGCCACGTAAGTCTGTGTTGAAGCCATCATTAGTAACCATGGCATGGTGCTTATATTTTAATAACCATGGCACGGTAATATTTTAAGTGTATTTTAATCACTACACACTTTCTAATTTACTAAATTGTGATTGTTGACTATATGTTAATTTCACAAGCACATGGCCATTTCTATGACTCTCCACACAAGCATCCAATGTGCTTCAATGCTATGCAGCCTGTCTCCTACACTCTGTTTTCTGTTGCTCGTCGCTGCTTTTCCTCACAGTTTTCTCCTTTTTATGCTATCAACAGTTCTGTACATTTTGTTTTTATTTCTTCATAGTTCTTTGAGAGTTTTGTATTTTGATCATATTTATGCTTTTCTCCTAACTCCTTCCCAGATCCATGTCTTCTTCCACACCTGTTTAGCTTTGTGGGTTTTTTCCCCTCTAACCCATTGAGCCCAACTTGTGATGCCTGTATATTCATGAATACCTGGCCACTGGAGTGTGGTCAGCCCACCATGGACCACATCTTTAAAGAAAACTGATTCTTCCTTTCCAGCAACTACCAAATGTCAGTGACTCCTCAGTTAAGGATGGGGATTCATGCCCAACCCCACACCTATGCTGGAATTTTGTCTGTCTTGAGCTTGCACAGGTTTTGTGCATGTTTTCACAATTGCTAAAGGTTCATATATGCAACTACTCTGTAGTTTTTGGAAAACAGTTTCATTGTAGTCATACACTACAGTAAATCTTTGAAAACCTATAGTGGTTGCTTGTTTCTTCATATCTGCCTTACCTGTTTTAATGTTTTATTTTCATCTATTTTCCTGCAAGGGACATGATTTTGGTATTCTTTATGCCTGAGTAATACTCTTTTGTATAAATACCATATTTTCTTTCACCTTGCTTTTGTTGATTGAACATGTAGACTAATTTTGAATCTTGGCTGTTTTGACTAGTTATGATAAATACATGTTTGCAGGTGTCACTTTTGCATTCTGCCATCATTTCCTTCAGGTCTATGGCTAGGAGTGGTATAAGGTTCAATTCTTGTGACAGGCAAGGACTCACAAGCCAAAGAGCATATCAGCTTTCCTGTCATATAGTTATTAAGTGATGAAGGCAGAATGTTACAGACATTTACAGACCATATTTAAGCTAACATTTATTCCCTCCCCCTACTACCAATGGGTTTGGTCACTTGCTTCTGTGAAGTGAAAATCTGATCATTTTTGACACTCCAGGTCATAGATCTTGAACCCTTCCGTTTTAGAAAGCTATGGATTCATTTCTCCTTAGGGGCTTAATCATCTCGTCCTGTGTGATCATTCCAAACTTCATAATTTTATGATGTGACAGCCTTGACCACATCCCCAGCCTTCTGTCCTATCTATGTTCTTCAGGTCTCTTCACTAATCACCTGTTTTATTTTTCTCAGTTACTTAATACCTAGTACCACATGTTCAGCCATCTTCATCAATGTCCTATTTTCTGGTCCAACCACGTGTCCTATAGTGACAGTTCAGTCAAAGATGGGCTACCCACTGTTAGATAACGTTGCCTAGAGATTTAGTCATTCTTCATCTGTGTAGATGTGCTCTCTGTTTGTAGGATGATAACGACAAATCATGCTGTTCTTGGATGGCACCTGCTAAGCCAAGCACCACATAATACAGACATAATATGTAATATGTTATACACAGCTATATACACAGCTATCCATAATGCAAACGCTTCCAGTTTTGAACCATGTGGCTCATTCCTCCCTATTGGAATTTCTTTGATCTTTGTTGTATTCATCTCTAAGACCAGGACCAAAAGCTTTTCTATGAAAGCTTAACTTGCTTCTTGGTCAACCTAAGTAGAATATGATTTCCACTTGTGTTTCTGTTAGACGTGGGCAAATGCTGCTTCTGAACCTTTATTATTCTCTCTCTCCTGCAACAGGATGGGTCATTCTTGTGCTTGTTGAGTACTGGTAATATCCTAATAATGGAAGAGCAAGGGTCTAAATTAAAACCTTAGCTCTGTTACTTGCTGTTTTCTTGATCAGTCTCTCTGTGGCACTTTTCCTTATTGGTAAAATGAAAATGTGTAAAGAAAGTCTGACTCAGGCAGCTAGTTTCCTGGAAGATTGGCTGGATTCATATAGGAGGAAGTAAAATACATGCTCTGATAATCTTCCTTCCCTATCTAAGCACAACACTCGTCTCTAGATCCAGCCTCACAAAGGTTTGGCGTCTGTGAGTGGAAAAGCTTTGTCAGTCTTGACAGTGTAACAAGAGGAAGCATAAAGGCTTTCCACACAGGGCAAGAATCCTGTTGCTTCAAAATTTAATTACTCTGGTACTCATTTGTATAACAATTGTCTAAAATTAAAGAAGATCCTTATCTCATTGACCTTCAAACTTATGCAAAGTTCGAAAGACACGCATAATATATACTCACTTATAAGCAGATATTAGCCACACAATACAGGATAACCATACTACAATCCACAGACCTAAAGAAGTTAAATAACCAGGAGGACCCTAGGGAGGATACTTAATTCTCATTCAGAAGGGAAAATAGAATAGGCACTGGAAGCATTTGAAGATAGGGAACAGGATGGGAGCCTACCGTAGAGTCCTCTGAAAAATTCCACCCAGCAGGGTATGGAAGCAGATGCTAAGACTCAGAGCCAAACTTTAGGCAGAGTGCGGGTCTTATGCAAGAGTGGGGGGATAGAAGGGCTTGGAGGGGACAGGTGCCCCACAAGGAAACCAACAAAGCTAAACAAATCTGTGTCCAGGTGGATCTGCAGAGATTGATGCACCAACCAAGAACCACACATAGAAAGGACCTACACCTCCTGCTTATATGTAACCTGTAGGCAGCTCAGTCTCCATGTGGGTCTCCTAGTAAAGGGAGCAGGGCTGTCTCTGACATTGACTCTGTTGCCCATTCTTTGATCACCTACCCCTGGTGGGTGGGCCTTGCCAAGCCACAGAGAAAGAGGATGCAGGCAATCCTAATAAGACTTGATAGACTGAGGTCAGATGGTAGGGGAGAAGGGCTCCCCCTTTCTGAGGAATAGGGTAGGGGGATAGGAAGAAAGAAAGAGGGAGGGTGGGACTGGGAGGCGATAAGAGAGGGGGCTACAATTGGAATGTAAAGTGAATACATTATAAAAAAATTAAATTAAAAAAGACTTTATTTGTAATCAACTTGAATGAAGTCAATGTCCTTACAAGAAGCAATGGTAATGCTTAGAATGACAGTTTGGAGAATTAATAACTTAGAAGCATTCAGAGATTGTCATGCGCTTATAGAGCTAGAAACATTGTAGGCTAACAGGACTCTGCAGTAAAGTACACATGCAGAGATAGTGTCTTTGTGTGTACTGTGGGTAAATTAATACCTGAGATGATGGGTCCGTTAGTGGCCTTGAAGTTACAGCCTTCGTGGTCTGAGCCTGGTTTCCCTCAAGTAAGCACTCATTAAATTTAGCTGTGATTGTGGTTGGCATCCAACAAATATTACATGATTTTGTCCCATACGTGATATTTGGTAATTTCTGAAGACATTTTCTGATGGGAGGGAGAAAGCTCTTGGTATCTGTTGGGTAAACTTCAGGATGGAACTGAAACATCACTTCATGCATAAGCCAGCACCCTGCAACTGAGAATTATCCCTATAAAAACACTGGTGGTTCAGAAACTGAATCTCAAGGCTAATGAAGCGTGTGAAACTTCACCTTTACTCTAACATCTACTTTAACGACAGCACCAACAGAAAGAAGGTCGTGGCAGGAATTCATATTCATAGGTAATCCAAATTACCCCACCCCCAATAACTACATGAAGACTCATGTGACGGACAAACTGGTCAAATGGTTTATATCCCTCGAATCTTAGCATACCATATCATCTCTGACACCAAATGGAACATGTCTCTCCAGCAGCCACGTAGAGGAAAGAGGAGGGGCAGAGTGTTAATGAGGTGAGACAAACTATCTCCGGTGAGTGGAGAGAGAAGCAGGTGTGGCTGTTGAGAACTGTCTGCCCCCACCTTTGACTGACATGAGAAAGCTGCTCTTCTGCAGCCCTTCATGAACATGTTTATTAAATCCGGTAGCAGGTTAATAGTCATCATGGCCCCTTCAGAAGTCTAAGTTGTTAACTGTGATATTGAATACTTCTCTGAAAAAATTGGGACATCTGTGAGGCACCCAATCCTGACCGAACTGAATGGTCAAAGTGCAACTTTGGATCCTTCGGAAGAATGTGTTCCTAAACTTCTCTTCAAGGGCTTGGTACTGCCACTCCCACTGGGGACGTGATTTTACTCCTTAGTGTTAAGATTATTGAAACTTTCAAAAATAATTAAATTAAATTAGAATTTATTTGCAAAAAGAATTTTTTAAAGTTTTCTTTTCAGTTCTTTCTTAAGTTGTGTGTATATGATCCTGCAGGTGTATTTCAAAGAGAATTTGTCCATCTCTGTATCCCACAATAAAGAACAACAACAAAGAAAGAATTGACATTAGCACATTCAGTAAGACAAACACCTGTTGTGAGATCTAACCTTGGGGAGAATTAAAGTATGATTGCTTTTAGCCCATTGTTTTGTTTACTGCACATCAAATAATGTGTAACTTTTAAGTAATTAAAGGATGATTTTATGACAGTTAGGTGATCCATATAAGAATTATTTTATTCTTTTAGGAGGAGAATATCTACTTTAAAACTGACTAGTTTTTCTTGGTTGCTTAAGTTGACCTGTGGAGTTTTGAACTGTCCAAGTCATGCTGAGTGACATCTTCCTTCTCTGTCTTCCAGGGTCTTTGGAGCTGCGATCCTGCTCACCTCTACCCTCAATATGCTGATCCCGTCAGCAGCCAGAGTGCATTATGGATGTGTCATCTTTGTTAGGATTTTGCAGGGGCTTGTGGAGGTAGGAGTTACAGGGTGGCATCATTTCAAGTTTAGGTGCAACTGCGTTTTCATCTTTATCTTCTTAGATAAATGGATATTAACTTTACTGCATAATATTAAAGTAAAAACTGAAGCACTGGGAATGTAAGGGAATCAATCAACTTGGGGCTCCAACCCAGGGCTCCATGCACTCATGCAAGACAAGTAAGAGCTTGCCTACCACTGAGCTACATCCCTTATACTTGAAAGTATTTTTAAGAGATTAATCTTTAAATTATTTTTAAGTCATGTATAGATGTGATTTTAGCCTGAGGGTATGAAGATGTGAGTGAAGGTGCCAGAGGAGGCCAGAGGCATCAAATCCCCGGGAGCTGGGGTCATAGACAATTGTAGATAGGAAATAAACTGGATTAGTTTAACTGCTGAGCCATCTCTCCACCCCTCTTGAGAGTTTTTTTTCTAAGTCTTGAAGTGTTTAGCATATTCAAAGCCATGTGGTTATACGATTAGATCTTGAGGTACTGTCCAGAAGACTTTGAAGGAGTGTCATTTGTAAACCTGAGTTTGACCTATGAACTGTTCCTTGTCCACATAGGGTGTGACGGAAATAGAGAAATAATGTAACTATAAAAACACCGAGAGAACTCTTCTTTCTTCCAAAATGGAAAAGCATGATAGACTCAAAATTATAGAAAGGGCCAATTATTTTTAATGTCAGTTTCTAGATGGCTGAACTCCTATATAGGGTCCTTGTATTTGGGGGTCAATCAGTGAAGTGCCTTACAAAAAGTTGTCCAAATTTCACAAAATGTTTGGTAGACAGTCTTATCTTTTGCTTTAAGAAAATTAGGGTGAGAGAAAAGCCTAATGGGTGGGGGCATCTGAAAAGAGTGTCTGCAGTTATGGTCTGGGCAAAGTGTTTCGAATGGGATTCCATGGGTTTAGTAAGAGCCTGTTTGTAACATTTGATTAGAAACAGGCCCAGTGGAGGGATTGCTAGCCTAAGTGCCCGTGTCTGTTTTCCCACCGCAGGGCGTCACCTACCCCGCCTGTCACGGGATATGGAGCAAGTGGGCCCCTCCTTTGGAGAGGAGTAGATTGGCTACCACCTCCTTCTGTGGTGAGCACTGTGCTGCTGAGATGGGCTAGTGTTTAGGGGAGACACCGAAAATACTTCAACATTTGATAAACACACTTACAAAAGTATCTGGTTTTGAACCTACTGGTTTAGTTCTGTAATTTGCATTGGTAGCAGCTTTTCTTTGCTTTGTATTATTTTGGCATATTAATTGGTGGTTTTAACTTTGTTTGTTTTTTATTTTATTTTTGAGGTAGCTATGAGGCACAGAAAGTGCTTAGCATAGTCTAAGCCACATAGACAGCACATTCTCCCTATGTGGACTCGGCTGGCCTTGAGAGCTGCCTGCCTCTGCCTTCTGAACTCTGATTAAAGGCATGCATCACAGTGCCTGGCCACTTCATTTATTTACATATTGATCTATGAGTCCCAAAGAGAAAGAAAAATCCCATTTCCAAATCATAACGAGAGAGAGCACAAATCCACTTTAAAGTTCAGAGCAAGTGTGAACAACCCACCAATAATAAATTAAGTCATCAGCAATGTTACTACCTGCAGATGCGGAACAGTAAGGTTTCCATGAAGGTTTTAAATATTGCCATGTGTCTCTGTTTATGAGATACTCTTTGCACAGTCGTTTCTGACAAGTTTTTAAACAAAAGTAGAAAACACTATGCAAAGATAAAACTGCATATCTGTATACAAGACAATTTGTGCCTTTCTAAAAAGATCTACGTATTTATTTATTTATTCATTTATTTATTTATTTATTATTTTATATGTCCGAGTGTCTGCATGTATGTAACTGTACCCCCTAGTGCCTTCAGAGGCCAGAAAAAGAGCATCAAATCTCCTGGAATTTGAGTTATGGACGGTTGTGAGCTACTGTGTGTGTTCTGCAAAGAGAACACAGGTCTTCTACAAGAGCATTAAGTGCTCTTTGGTATCTCTCCAGCCCACGCACTGCTACAGTTCTTTAAATCTCTGTTATGTCCTGCTACCTAGGTGTGATTCGAGGTGTGGTTCTGTGATTTTGTGAAAGGAAGTAAGGTGTAGGGTGAATATGTGTTTGATGAGGTGATGTGCATGTGCCTGCGTGCGTGCATGCGTGGTGTGTGCGTGTATGTTTGTATGCAGCTGTTGTATGTATTTGTGTGAGCCAATCCTGGTACATGAGAGAAAAACAATTATTGCTCTCATGCACTTTCTTCCCTCCTCCCTTTCCCTCTAGGTTCCTATGCTGGAGCAGTCATTGCCATGCCTTTAGCCGGTATCCTCGTGCAGTATACTGGATGGTCTTCAGTGTTTTATGTGTATGGTAGGTTACATTTATTTACAATAGAGTTATGTATAGGATAATGTAAAATGGTAGCATATAATGCACAATTTATTTACTTACTTTCTCATCTTAAAATCCCTTTATATTCTGAAAAGAGAAAAAAAAGCTTTGAGCTGTTACTTTCCTTTCATTGTTGTTTCTTGTGTTAAAGAGCAACCACCTCACTGATGGACACTTTGCAATACTTTATTAATTGCTATGCTTCTGATTAGGAGGTGAATAAAGACCTCCTGATTTTAAGATGCTGAGGTTTAAGGAGCTAGCCCCAACTCAAGTATATTTGCTGCTATTGCTTCCTGATTCTGCCTCCTCAAGTTAAGTGAGCATGGGTAGCAGGAAGATGTTCGTCCTGATAATTCATCAAAATATTTGATACAATGTCAATAAAAACCAGTCACAGAGCAGAAATGAAAGTCCACTGAGTTCCCACATTAAAATAGAGATGAGATAGTATTGCAAATATATCATGGATGGAGAGGACCTAAAACCTCTGCTCAGATGTAGCCCATAGAATCAGTCTCTGAGAGGGTTCCCTAGTAAGGGGAACAGAGACTGTCTCTGACATGAACTCAGGGGCACACTCTCTGGGGGGTGCAGCCTCTCCAGGCAACAAAGGAAGACAATACAGCCAGTCCTGATGAGACCTAATAGGCTAGGGTCAGATGGAAGGGGAGGAAAACCTCCCCTATCAGTGGACTGAGGGAGAGGGATGGGAAGAGAAGAGGTAGGGAGGGCAGGAGGGGTTGGGAGGAGAGGAGGGAGGAGGCTACAGCCTGGATACAAAGTGAACAAATTGTTAAAAAAAAATAGCAATTAAAAAAAAAAAACCAAGCTGAATGTCTGGGTGTGGTGACATGCCTATAATTATTCAGGTAGGCAGAGGCAGGAGCTTTGCTGTGAGTTCGAGGCCAGCCTGGTTTACAAAGTGAGTCCAGGACAGCCAAGGCTACACAGAGAAACCCTGTTTCGAAAAACCGAAAAGAAGAAGAAGATGATGATGATGGAGGAGGAGGAGGAGGAGGAGGAGGAGGAGGGGAGGAAGAGGAGGAGGAGGAGGAGGAGGAGGAGGAGGAGGAGGAGGAGGAGGAGAAGCTTTCCAGATTTCCCTGGAAAGGTGTCTAATATCATCTTTGGATGTGGGCATGAGGATCTGGAAGATAAAGCATATGGTACTATAGAGAGGTATATGGTTGTCTCTGAATTTGGCCACACCCATTTGTTCTTACTTTGAAATATTCTGAAAATGACAAACATGTCTCCTAGAGATAACTGACAAACATTGCTTTATAACAAGGGCTCGAGGATTCTTTGGGTACTGAAGAGCCCATTGACAGATTTTTGGATCTATGAATGCTCTTCATTGTAAGCCATATATGTATTTGCATATCTCTCTGTCTGTTTCTATCTCTATCTCTATCTCCTCTCTCTGTGTGTGTATATGTGCATGTGTTCATGCATCATGTGCATGCCAAGGCATGTATTTGGAGGTCATAGTACAACTTGTAGAAGTCAGTTCTCTCCTTCCACCATGTGGTTTCTGGGAATGGAACTCAGGTTTGATAGAAAGTGTCCTTACCTTTTGGGCCCTCTTATTGGACCCCTAGAGAGAATCGAAAATTGTTCTTTTAAAAAAATAGTATTTTAAGTCTTATTTTTTCATTAGGTTTTCACAAGGGTTTGTGAGAAAACATGGTTTGTACTTTGTGTGGCTAGTTGCTACCCTGAGTTGGCTTAGTTTATTATTTACTTAAAGAGATGATGGGACTCTAAAGTTGTGGATACATCTCAAATCTTAGTTATTTCTTTATATTGCAAAGGAAAGTTTTCTAAGGTGGGTAGGTGGGGAAAATCTGGGAGGAGTTGTGGGAATAGAAACTGTAATCAGAAAGTTTACAAAAAATATTTTCAATAAAAATATTTTAAAAGAAAAGAAATAATAATTTAAGTAAGTCATTCTGTCTTCTTGAATCTCATTTAACATTTACCATTGAGTATGAATCAAAGGATATGCAGTAAGTATTTGAAAAAGAATTACACAAAGCATGTTTGCTTGCTGTTTGTAACAAAAACTGAATCTTGAAAGGCATCTTTGTTTTTTGTTTTAAAAATCACTGTGCTAAAATTTGGACAGTATGGAAGAAGGTAATAGCTACAAAAACACCAAGTGGACCCAGGACACAGTACATGAATTTAGTCCATGGTAGGGATAATAAACAGAGTGGCATACAGGAAATGTTTGATGGGTTGGTAAGCACGAAGTTACAGGCATGCAGAACACACCACAGGAACACAGTGCTAATCTTCACCAAATGATGGAATGCTCAGTTACTAGATGCTCAGAGAGTGACACCCACTGCTCTGTGAGATGTAAACAGTATCTCCTTTAACTTTGGTGTTTTTTGGTTTTTTTTTGTCAAAAACTTATATATAAATTACTTTTTACTGGGCCTTGTAGTAAACACTGAAATCCCTGCACTTAGGAGGATTATGATTTAGAGATCATAGGACTCTGCCTTAAAAACTGAAATCTTTTCCATTTTGTAGTGGAGGTTTGGAGTGACTGTTACTTACTGAATCATATCACCAATGAATGATGCAGTGAGGATGTAAGTCTAGGAAAATCCTGCCATAACAGCTACATCTATAAGAGATTTAAACAAAATCTGGCCTCAAATCACATTTGCTTCTGTGTTCAGTAATTAAAGGGAAGACAACCCACCAGAGTCTATGTATGGTGTTAAGGAAGATGTCTTAGAGACTAAACAGACAAACATGAAGTATTAGTGAGCTCAGGAGTACTTAGATTGTTACCCAAGGGATGGAGGGAAGAGTGAGAAAGAAAAATGCAATGTCCTGGTAGCAGTGGGGAAAGCAGGATAAATCCCTTGGGACTGCTTCTCCTGTTACTGCTTACAGATTTATAATGCACAACAAAAATATGTGTTCATGGTGAGAGAGATAAATAAAAAAGAGGATTGGAAGGGAGAGAAAACAGTTTGTGGGCCGACAATATAACTTCTAACAGTCCTAAAGAATGATTAACAAAGTCTAAGCTAGGACACACAGTGTATAATCACATCACAAGGAAGTCCTTCCATGTTAATTGTAGAGGCCCATGCTCATCTACTATCATCATTTAGACTAGCAAATTCTCCACTGTTTTGCTTCAAACCTGTTTATGACCTTTAGAAGTTCTAGTCAGGGGGTGCAACAGATATTTCTCCCTCTCTTGAAATTTAAACCATTTTTTATATATTGATGGTCAGCAAATAAAAAACATATCTACTCCTCATTCTATGGAATTCTCCAAACATAATAATTTCATCTTGTTTAATAGTCTTCTCTTGAATGGCATTGTGTCTAGCATGTCACAGCTCAGTAATGGAAGATGAGATGTGTGACTAAACTTCCAACTTATGTTATTCAGTAGCTGCTTGTGAGTTTTTGTTTATCAGTGCTGCTTAATTAGAGTCAAAGATATGAACCATGGCATAAGTCTTTGAGAAATCTGATGTGAAGTCAGCTGCTCACACCACACATACCATATGGCTCTCATTGAGATTATTGTATGTCTCCAACCTCTAGCTGCTAATCGTATTCCTAACAACTGCCTTCCTTTCATCTCCTCCTTGTCAATCCTTTCTTGCAGGAAGCTTTGGCATGGTCTGGTACATGTTCTGGCTTCTGGTGTCTTACGAGAGCCCTGCCAAGCATCCTACCATTACGGATGAAGAACGTAGGTACATAGAAGAGAGCATTGGAGAGAGCGCAAATCTGTTAGGTGCAATGGAAGTAAGCGTTTCATTATGGTGTCTATACCTCTTCTTATTGCTCATCTCACCTTCCTGGATTAACTGTTACCAGTCCTTACTAAATGAAGTAGCCTGGCCCCAAGTTCTCTTTCTCTCTCTCTCTCTCTCTCTCTCTCTCTCTCTCTCTCTCTCTCTCTTTCTCTCTCTCCCTCCTTCCTCTCCCTTTCTCCCTCCCTCATGTCCATCCATCCATTCTCCCTAACCTCCCTTAGGAATGATTTCTATCTTCTTTCTTGCTTGCTAGATGTTTGTTTTGTTTTTGTTTTTGTTTTTCTCAAAGTAAAACAGATGGGTTAGAGCAACAGCACTTTTCAACCTATGAGTCTTGACTTCTTTGGCAAACCTCTATCTCCGAAAATATTTACGTTACAATTCATAACTACAGCAAAACTACAGTTATGAAGTAGCAACAAAAATAACTTTATAGTTTTGAGGAATAAGGAATAAGGAACTGTATTAAAGGGTTGCAGCATTAGGAAGGTCGAGAATAGCATAATCTCTAGCTTTCCACTTCCTATACTCCATTGCCTTCTAAAAACACTGTATCTTTCTTCTAAATAGGTTTCACATGTTCCTGTCACTTCAAAATGAATTTCAAAATCAGGTCAAATGGAAGTCAAACTTGTATTTCAAGTTCTTTTGAACATTTTTGGACCAAATTATGCCTATAACATAGCAGGCAATGCAGTCGCGGATTGTTTGTCTGAACACCACTATCACAGTCAGCACTGGTTCCCTGGCATCTGCAGCTGTATTGCCCAGAATTCCTTGGCCAGGAAGTTCCCACAGAGGGCACCCAAAATATCTCTGAGAGAGAACTGAAAAAGGAGGAGACAACACTGAGTACCAGGAACACCAGTCCAATGTGCTTCCCCTCCCCTCTTTTTAATTTTTGAATTTATGTGTTTATTCACTTTACTTCATGATCTCAGCTCTGCCCCTCTCCTCCCAGTACTCCCCCTCACACGCCCCCTCTCTCATTCCCCTCAGAGGAGGGTGAGGTCCCTTAAGGGTACCAACCCACCCTTGCACATTAGGTCCCTGCAGGACTAGGTACATCCTCTCCCAACAGAGGCCAGACAAAGCAGCCCTCCCTAGGAACCAAGAGCAATGCAAGCTCAGTTATACTGGCAAAGGTTATGTGTTTTGAGGTCAACACCCAGGATTATGGGAAGGTTTAAGGAATGTGTATTAGGGATGAGGCCCTTTTCTTTCAGAGTTTGGGAGAAAAGGCCTTCCCTGAGAGTGTTAAAGGCCTGAACTTAAATTCTAACCTGCTGAAAGACTTGCAGTAGGGGCCACAGATAAGAACTATGTTCCTCAGGGTCCAAAAGGGTCCTACACAGGTGCAACCATAGCTGACATCTTGTCCTGCTTACTTCAGTTTTTTTGGACAGATTCAAACTTTCGTTCTGTGAGCATGTCATCTGCTCTTCCCTAAAGACCTATCAGATCCACTACAATCAGCAGTGCCTGACACTGTCCAGCTCATGGCCCTGCCTTTGTCTTTTATGGTCACTTGTTCTGAGCATGGATCCAATGAAAACACAGGTTACAATCAATTGTGTGTGGCTTAGATCTTTTATGTTGTTCTCCTAGGAATATTATTAATGTATGAAAATGAGGGATCATATATGAACAAGTTGCTGTCATAATCACATTCCCAAAGCAGCTGAATAAATAGAATATTGTCAGGGTGATATACATCTACTTGTAGTTCCCAGCAATTTAAGTTTTTTATTATTTTTATTACAATTTATTCACTTTGGATCCCAGCTGCAGCACCCCTCTCTCTTCCCAGTCCCACCTCCCTACCTCTGATTTTTTTAAGGCATAAAGTAAGATAGTAGGAGCTAGGGAGATGACTCAGTGATTAATAAAGGACATTGGTTGCTCTTCCAGAGGACCAAAGTTCAATTCCCAGCACCCACAGGGCATCTCACAAGCATCTGTAACTCCAGTTCCAGGGGATCTGATGCCATTTTATGGCATCCGTGGGCATCAGGCACACATGTAGTGCACAGACATACATTGAAGCAAAATATCCATTCATATAAGATAAAAATAAATACATCTTTTAAAAATTGACACTTTTCTCTTCCTGTTGTAGTGCTTTACCATATGAAGAATATAGTTCCTAGGGTTGATAATCCTCAAAAAAGCAAAAAAGTATTTTCCCAGCAGGAAAAAAGTTGTTGACTTTTTTTTTGGCAGGGTTTCTCTGTGTAGCGTTGGCTGTACTAGACTCCCTTTGTATATCAGGCTGGCCTCTAACTCACAGAGTTCCACCTGCCTCCGCCTTCCTGAGTGCTGAAGTTGTTGACTCTTAGCAATCTCTTCAGTTATACCTTTTGCACACAGAGTTATCCTGATGCACACATTCCTGTCTCTGGCCATTTTTATATACCTGTGAAGTATTTTCATCATGTATCATCTATAGGAGTAAAGAAAAAAACACCTGTCCTTTGGAGCTTACCTATTATGCATCACAAAACAAATATTTACCGAAAGCAACAGTGTTTATTATACATTAGTGATATAGGTTTTTCTCTTTCCTGGCATTACATATATTTCTGATCACTCCAACGTGATTTCTTCCAATTCTGCATCTGAAGTCATTTTTGAAAATCTGAGTACAGATAGGTTAATACCAACAATCACGGGGTTCAACGCTTGGGAATAATTATTAAATCTGTGTCCTGTTTTGATCATGAAACACTGACTGGAGCTATTTTAGGAGATTCTTTCTTCAGCAGCTATATTTTGTTCTTCAAATGAGGTAATTAAGAAAGTGTTTGGGACTATGAGAAATAGTTTGAAGTCTGAAATATTAAGAGCATGAGGTTTAATTTTTAAAAAATATTATAATCATGTAAATCATCTCTAGGTATTTTGTTTTTATTTAGAAAAGACTCAAATGTCATAACTCGCTGGTAATGATGTCCTAGGATATATCTACTGGACCTCATCACCACAAAAATATATCAGGAACTTGTACCTCTGTGTCCTAAAATATACAGATCATCACTAAAGGTCGAGAGAATTTACATATAGATGATGGCTTAGCTAACTTCAGAGAGGGAGGGCAATATCATGGTCTCGTTTTCTCTTTCATGTCAAGTACATTCAACTTTCAACATTTTAGATATCAGAAAGCCACTGATTTGGCAACATTTTGCTTTAAAATCTTAGAAATTAGAACCCATGATTTTGGAATTTATTTTCTATGTACATGAATTTGCATACTTTAAAAACTAGACTAAGTCAGAAGATTGGTATTTGGTTTTCTTTTAATGATTATCACATGCCTAAGGTTAACAGGGAGGCTGTAGCTACCAATTAATTATCTCCTTAATTACCCATCCTATGCCTCTACAAACAGAAAGCATCAATTTCAGTCAGAAAATGCTAAAGCAGAGGAACTCTCGTTTTGGGCTTTCAGAAATTCAAGACTCCATGGAGGAAGTTTTTCACATCCATGCCTGTCTATGCAATAATTGTTGCAAACTTCTGCAGGAGTTGGACATTTTATTTACTGCTCATCAGTCAACCAGCTTATTTTGAGGAAGTTTTTGGGTTTGAAATTAGCAAGGTATGTACAAATTCACCTTATTAAAATATTGGATAATATTTATACTTAAGTCAATATTTTTTTCTTTAGCCAAAAGTTTGTCTTCTAATCTTCATGATTTACTGTAAGGAAGTACGTGTGTGTGTGTGTGTGTGTGTGTGTGTGTGTGTGTGTGTGTGTGTCCTAGTCCTACTTTTCCCCATAAACAAATACAATAACCTTTAGTCCAAGACAAGCTTATTGCTAGCAAGAAAGGTAACCCATTCTAATGGAATTGTGTTTAGGCTGCTATCAATCTCCTCTCTATGTGTTCTTAGAGATCTGTCCAATTGAACGATACACTTAACTAATCAAAAGGCTGAAAATGTCCTTGCACTTTGTTCATCCAATTTAATCTAAGGAGCATTTGTTGAGTCTATTATAGGACACTTGGTGTTATTCAGACATAAAACATAGCTTCTCTTTCCCAAATATTTGGAGCTTTGTAGTATTAGACAGAAATCTTGTATTGCCAATTCACACACACAAGGCATATAAGACATTTGTTTATAGATACAAACAGAAACAAAAACATTTTCAGATTTTCTATAAGAAGAACTCAAATTTAATTACTCTTTTTGTATAGGGATATTAAATTCTAGAAGTTTCTTTCGTATTCATGAATAACCTCATCTGGTAGACCAGATGGATAGTTATCATTTCTGTTTGACTGATGGTAAAACAAACTGAGGGCAATTATTTTTTGAGGGTAATAATTGAAATCTCCTAATGCAATATTAACTAGCAACAGACTCAGGATATGGAGACTCCATTTCAATTCCCTTTAGTGTCACACATCAGATGACCTGTACATTCAGTCACTCACTTAGCAGGTTAGTGTGGAGTGCCAGCTCTGAGCTCTGTGCCCAGCTCTCTGCTGAGTCCTGAATACATTTATCTTTGCTGGCAATGACTGTGCTGTTTCTCCTTGTGTTGCTACGTAAGTCCAGCTGGGCTTGGTCTGTTCATATTGTGTCTTTACTTGAAAGGCTATCTGAGAGCTGGGCTATAGAAAGCCTGAGCCTGGCATTTGCTGGCCTAAGAGCTCTTTTGTAGCAGCTGTTTCTAAGGAAACAGTCCCCTCTTTCTGAGAAGAATGGCTGCTATAGACTGGCTCTTCTCCCTGGAGCTGATCAAACATAGCAGGGCAGCTTTGGGACCTCTAAGATTATCACACCTCTCAACAAAGACTGCTGGAGGTGTGAGTCCATTTTCATAATCTAGGACAAAAGTGACACTCAGAGGTTATTAATAAAGCCAGGACTTGTGGTGGGCTGGGAGAGGTGCCAACTGATGATAGTGAAATGATTTTCTTAGGATTTTTTCTACAATTAGCTGAAAACACTTGAATAAAATCAGAGGCAGTTTGGAAAAAAATAAATGAACAAACATATATGGATTATTTAATTCACTTGTTATTTTTAAGCAAAAGTTGTAGTTATATTTTATATACAGTGTGGACTGAAGATTCTTATTAAGCTGGTAAAAATTGTTTTGAATTCTACAACTTACCTGAAAAAAAAATTGGAGATCATGATAGCAAATCTAGGTGTGTCCAGGTCATGTGGCTTTGAACCTAAGATATATAATGAAGTGTTGATCTACAACTTGGGGCTGATTTTTTAATCATTATCATCTTTAATTTCTTATCTATGAATAGTAAGAGCTGTTATACTGTCTTAAAGAAGTGAAGCAGGACTGTCTGGATCCTCTCTCTCTGTGGTCTAGTAAGGACACCTCGCCAGGGAGAGATGATCAAAGAGCAGGCAACAAAGTTAATGCCAGTGGCTGCCCCTGCTCCCCTTACTAGGGAACCCACATGGAGTAGGGAAGAGGACCTCCCCCTATCAGTGGACTAGGGGATGGATGTAAAGGGGTAAGAGGAAGGGAGGATGGGAACCAGAGGAGATGAGGAAGGGTGCTACAGCCAGGATACAAAATGCCTAAATTGTAATAAATAATAATAAAATTTTAAAGAAAAAAAGAAGTAAAGCAAATATGATACAAAATAAAATGCTTACATAGAAGGTGTCTTTCCCTAACCTCATGAAACTGAATATCCTATAGATAGAACTACGGAAACAACACTTTAATCTTCATTCTAAGTATGCTTATTTAGTTAAGACAAAATGAATCTGTGTGCAGGTGTCCACACACACAAATAGTTATAATATATAGGACCTAATCTATGCATTTACATAAGTGAACTATATTAGTTAACTCTCTTTCTTTCTATCTCTCTCTCTCTCTCTCTCTCTCTCTCTGTGTGTGTGTGTGTGTGTGTGTGTGTGTGTGTGTGTGTGTATTTCCCTATGCTAAATATTTTCAGCCCCTTTGAGAATGGCAAATCAGGGCAAAGTTAGTTCTAGGATAAGCATGCCCACCTTTAAACATCAGAATTCAGGCACTTATCAAATGAGATGAAACATTTGTTTCCTCTGAGCTCTTTAAGAGGGGTTGTGCTTCATGTTCTGCTTCCTGACAGCTTCAAAATATAGTTCAGATAGAGTTGCGATGCAACTGTGACCAGAGAGACACAGAAGAGGGAGGACTAGTGTATAAGCATTTGGGAATACTAGGAGGAATAAATTGTAGAATCTAAATATCCATCTTCTCCTCCTTAAATCTTAAAACAATGAGCCAACTAAATACAGTCCAACAGGGGATGGATCAGCCAGAGGATGTGTGCACTGATTATTCATAATAAGTCACTAGAGCTGAAAAGACCTACACATGGACAATTTTCAGGAATTTTTGCCTAATAAGCTAGAACTTTCCATACTCCCAAGTGCTTAAGCAGGGACCAAAATTTACCTCTCAGCAGCCTCTAGCTGTTAATTTCTTGCATTTCTGGTCCTGACTCTGCTGAAAGAGTAATAAGTCTTACTCTTAATAAATAAAGTAATAAATCTTTAAGTCTGTGCCATTTCTTTGTGCAAAGGGATAAAGTTGTTCATTCAAATGGACAGTAGATAACTGAAGCTGCTCAGTGTAAGACCTCTTTCATATGTAAAACACTTCATGTGGACACAGAAAGGGTCGCTCTAAAGCAGGTAGTCCGTATTTGTAAAATGAAGGATAACATGCATTTCATAGCTCCAATAATTCAGTCAAAATCACAAATAGTAAATTACAGTCTTTCCCTTACTAAAAGTTGTGCTTCAAAATATACTAAAGCGAGAACATCCATTCATGTGGTAACAGCCAATTTAAGCATGTTTTTTAATATGCTCTTCCCCCATTCAATACCTAGGAAACTGCTTACTGTTCCAAATTAATTGTTAAGAATGAATGATGAAGGCATTCGAGATTTGATATTGCCCTAATTTCTAGGAAATCAGTGTAGAGGCTGCGTATGAAGGTCTGCCAACATGACTACATTTGACTGTAACTGACTCAGCTGAAGGACTTGTGAGCTTCACTTGGCGTAAATTAAATCTAGGGTATGAAAGTTAGAAGTAGTGTCTTAAAATGTAAATATGTAGTGTTTCACCTTTTGAACAAAACAGAAAATGTAAATATAGCCTTTTTGAGGGGCAAGGGCATCATTTTCTCCCAGATCTCATCCTCTGCCTTCTGCCTCTCATTAATGATGAATTTATACAAACACACTTAAAGAATATGAATCAGAAAACCAAGATGACTCACTCACTACAAGATTCAGGAGGGTTGATTCATGAACTCAGAATGTTCTGAATCACAATAGAGCAATAAAAATTTTTCTTCTGTAAGAATACAAAAAAAAAAAATCAAAGTAAATTTACTTAGCTCTCATGGTTTGCTCTGTGGACATTACTGCTTATTCTAAGAGAGTGAGTGTGCATTTGGAGACAGTGTCTTGCCTTCCCTGGCTCATAGGAGTGGATGAAGATGGATACAGAAAGCCAGGCCATTCAATTTCCCACTCCCTCTAATCTCTCCTACTTTTCTCCCCTTCCTGCTCTCGTCAGGTCGGCATGCTGTCCGCGGTCCCACATCTCGTCATGACAATCATTGTACCTATCGGCGGCCAAATTGCCGACTTTCTAAGAAGCAAGCAAATTCTTTCAACAACAACAGTGAGAAAGATCATGAATTGTGGGGGTAAGTGTGCATGTGGTGGTAAGCATATGTTCCTGTTTAAAGAGCCTGTGATTTACATGCATGAATCCGATTTTCTAAGTGGGTCAAACTGCTTCATGCCTGTTAGAAGTGCACCTTTATAGTTCATTTCAAATCATTTTCCCATGGCCAGCCTCACTCATTACAAGGCACTGCTTAACAAAGCCATCTGTGTATATTGTAACTAAACCTCTAACCACTAAAACATTAGGTTAATTTGGATTTAAAAAACACATAGTAGGGGCTGGAGAGATGGCTTAGTGGTTAAGGGCACTGTCTGCTCTTCCAAATGACCCAGGTTCAATTCCCAGCCCCCATGGCAGCTCTGTAATGCCAATTCCAAGGGATCTGACACCTTCATGTGTCAGATTTTATGTGCATGTAATGCACATAAAAATTAAATAAATTACTAAAAAACACATAATAAATTCTCCCATAATCTTTGGCATAAATTATTACCATTATGTCTCTCTGAGGTATACTGTCCACATTTGTAAGACTAAGAAATGTTAGTAGTTTTGGTTTACTTGTTTATGGTAATTTTATAAATTAGTTAGTCTGAGTTAAGCTTGTACAGGTTTCATGTACACCGACACAATGGTTTTGAGTTTGTACATGAGGCTGCCCTGCTGTGTCTAGAAGAGATTGTTTTCTTGTCATCCACTGCCTCTATCTCTTATACTCTTTCTGTGACTTCTTCCTAATGATCCCTGAGCATTTGAAAGTGTGTGTGTGGGGGGGGGGGTGCATGTGTTTGCAGTATATATGTTTTGGTTAGTACTGAGAATTCTGCTGCCTCTTATTCCCTGTATGTTGGCCCATTATGGGTCACAGCGTTGATCAACATTTGCAGTAAGTAGAATCTTCTCTTATGAGGGTTGAAAGATCAGTTAGTAAATGAGTTTAAAGGTAAGCCATTAGGAATTGCTTTAAGAGTATGTTGATTTAACAGAGTAATAGTAGAATGTTCTCCTATATGGCCTATGTCCTGTCTAGCCTCAGGTTCTTGGCCCAATAATGGTGCCACATATAGGTCAATCTTGTGGAGTAGGGTTTAAGTCATATTAGTAGTTGTTAATAAAAATATATTTAGGGAACATTGCACTGAAAGGCGGTGGGCACCATGTCCCACCCCAGCTGAGGAGATGTTGGCAATTGATAGCCGCTGGGAAAGGGAGAATGGGGTGGTTTTTTTTTTGTTTGTTTGTTTATGTTTTTAAGATTTAATAAGTTGATCAACCTCCAGCGGAAAGACATATACTCAAGAATATATGGGCACCACAAATTTGATTTGATAAGTTGTAAAACAAAAAAGACACAGTTGGGTGAGGAAGGAAGTGGGGGTAGTTCTGGGAAGATTCAGGGAAGAGAGAAATATGATCAGAATACATTGTAAGAAATTCTCAGAGAACTAATAAAATTTCACAGAAACCTTTGCAATACTCTGCTGTGCTTGCCTCCAAAGGTTTCGGCATGGAAGCCACCCTGCTTCTGGTTGTTGGCTACTCTCACACTAGAGGAGTGGCCATCTCCTTCTTGGTGCTTGCAGTGGGATTCAGTGGATTTGCTATCTCTGGTGAGGGGCTTCTTCTTTGTCTCTCTATATTATATCTTGATCTTTGTTATTAATTATCTATGTGCTGGACAACTGTTGTAACATATAGAAACATCATTTAGAATTATTATTGTTCAACTTCCCCCTAATGATTTTCTTATTCTTTGTCACACTTGATCAATTCATTAAGAGAATGCTTGCTGTAAGCCATATTAAATCTTGAAAAAGCAAATGTATATCCTCTCTTTCTCAAAATGTACTTGGATGGATTTATGAAAACTCATAGTTAAGCACACAGTATGTACCCACTATCTTTTGGGAAGATGTGATCTGATGTTCTGTACCAGATACTTGCTTCTTGGTTTATGCTGTCTTGAACCAAAGCTTCTGTTTATATTTCAGGCTTCAATGTTAACCATCTGGATATTGCTCCAAGATATGCCAGTATCTTAATGGGCATTTCAAATGGTGTTGGCACACTGTCGGGAATGGTTTGCCCTATCATCGTTGGTGCAATGACAAAGAACAAGGTAGGAGCGAGAGTGGTTCCATATAAGAGATTCTCTCTTATGGTTGGAGGAAACTTTGGTGTTCTCCTTGGGGTGTTCCCTCCACTTTTATATAGGAAAGACAAATGAAACCCAGAGGACAAATTTCTATATTAGCTCTGATAAAGCCTATCTTCCTAACCATCAAACAAGGTGTTTTTCAAGCCCATCCAACATCCACTGATTATTTATTTATTTAGAAGTGTTAATTAGACAAACTAGGACATTCTACAAAATACCTGCTTCTGATGTCCCTGTTGTGACAAGAACATCACCCCCAAGCTCTACAACCCTTTGCCTCTACATTATAAAGTATACAAACAGCTTTTCCCAGTTTTATTTGACAACCTCAATTCAGATTCCAAGGCAGTTTTATGAAGAATACTGTTACTGTCAGAGAGCTGTCCTTTTATGTACATATAGGACTTCAATATTTGGGTTTTACAGATGGAAGAGATGGCTGAGATAGTGCATGGTCATCGCTCTAGCACCAAGGAGAAAGAGTCAGGTCTCAATTCAAGACCACCCTCAGTTACATAGTGAATGCACCCAACCAAAAAAGATGCAAGACTAGAAAATACTAAATGTGAAAGAATATTCTTAAACTCAGCAGGCCAAGCATGTATTTGAGATTTTATTTTCAAACTTCTACCTTAAAATGTTAAACAATAAAATGAATAGTCTTATTTCAAAGTGTTTTCATGACATGGATACCCCCCATAATAGTGCCTCATAAAGATGGCATGATGGCAGAGTGTTCTCACAGAGTAGCTTTCCAGTTTTGGAATTTGCTCTCACAGCACTGCTTTTTCTCACCACAGTCCCGTGAAGAGTGGCAGTACGTCTTCCTCATTGCTGCACTCGTCCACTATGGGGGAGTCATATTTTATGCAATATTTGCCTCAGGAGAGAAGCAACCTTGGGCAGACCCTGAGGAAACCAGTGAAGAAAAATGTGGCTTTATTCATGAAGATGAACTGGAAGAAGAAACAGGGGACATCACTCAGAATTACATAAATTATGGTACCACCAAATCTTATGGTGCCACAACACAGGAGAATGGAGGCTGGCCTAGTGGCTGGGAGAAGAAGGAAGAATTTGTGCAAGAAGGTGCACAGGAGACATACACCTACAAGGACCAAGATGATTATTCATAACGAAGCTAGTTGTTGGGTTTATTTTTAGTGTTTGTGATTAAATTAATTGTGATTGCACAAAATAATTTTAAAAATGTGGTGTGGCCATGTAAACATATCAACCAAGCAAGTCTTGCTGTTAAAAAAAAAAATAAGAATTGAAAATAGACCATGAGATTCCCATCAAGTGCAATCTGTGGAAGATGTCACATTATGTCATTTCCATTCAGGTCATTCATCCTTCTGTTTGTGATTTGAAGGTTTACTGTAGGTTTAAGTAGGTATTCGTTGGACCCATCACCATGTTAGAGAGCACAACTAAAACAGTTGGCACATGTCATCCTACAGAAGTTAGGAAGCCAAAGCTACTTGATCATGCAAATTGCACTTATTTATTTATTACACTAGACTGCAAAATATCCCAGGGATATCCTGTCTAGAGACATAGTGGAGCTGGAAAGCTGGCTAGATCCGGTATTGACTATAATCATTATGTGCATATCATGGAGTGGCTACGTCTTTTAATTGAAGAACTACATTGTGTACTAGCAGCTAGCAAATTGTACTGAATTATTAGTAGGAATGCAGAGTGTGTGATATCTTGTGATCTTCAAAAAGCTTATCTTGCAGTGTTTTGTGAAATGCTTGGGCACAAACACTTATTTTTATGAAAGAGAGCTTGTAAAGGGAGGAGTATGCTCCATGCTCTCCCATTCATTACCTGACAGTATCAAACCCTTCACATTTCAATAAAATTCAACTTTCATGTAACATATCACATAACTTTTTTTGAAAAAAAAATATAAGAAGAAATAGACTTCAATGTATTTTTTATTACAACTTTGTACTGGTTGTAACTTACAATAGGAAATGATTAATATATATATAATCATAAAGAACCTAATAAAAATTTAGTATAAATATATAACCCTTGAAATGCAATATTAACAACAAAATAGGAAATGATTTAGATAATCTTCCTTGATAACTAAAGACTATATGAAACTCATGCCACAAAGCTATATATAATATGAAAAGATAAACACTAGAGATCTATATGTAGACAATTTTATTACCTAATGTCCCATTTAAGAGATATTTGTCATGAGTATATAGGACAAACTATATTAAAATTATATCTATATCCCTGTATATCTTATACATATTCACTCACACAGACATAACAAATACTTTTCACACAGAACCAAAACAAGCATACACCTAATGTTGGTTAGGGGATTGCAATTTCTACTTTCATAGAGTCATAGAATTTTAGATGGGAAAAAAGGCATTTTGCTCGTCATTTCTTAATATAATTAAACAGGAACTGCAACATTTGTGTACCAAGCAATAAGTGCAAAGCATAAAACCTCCTGTTTGTAAATTCTTCCCATGTTGCTTATGGTAGTAATGATTTCCTTCTTTTAAAAAAGTTAACACCAGAGCTATTTATAATGTTTTGCGGTGATAAGAATGCACATCCCAATTTAATGCAAAATGTCACCTGGTGTGTTTGCCTGTCTGTTTTGGGTATTTGATCTGTTCAGTTTCCTGTGATCTTGACTGGAGGCCCTGCTACTGCAAATATGAAATATGAAGTTTGCTTTTAAATGCAAACCACTCCTGACCTTAAGGACCTAAAATTTCCCCTCTGCTTTGTGTCTCAAATATCGTGTGACCATAACCTTTGCTGTGCTGAGTGAAAAGGTGTGAACTGTCATTTTGTTGCTGCAAAAAAAGTGTTAATAAAATGTTCTATTTATCCTTTTGTAAAATCAGTATATTCATTTCAGTTTGGTGTGGTGTCCAGCTTTACAGTTTTGTAGCTTATGGATGTTTCAATGAAGACAAATGTAGAAAACACAAAAATTTCACACCAGCAAACCACACACACACACACACACACACACACACACACACACACAGAGACACTTGCGTGCGCACACAAGTACACACATGCACATCACCACCAAAAAGTCAAAATAACAGGAATCAACAACCATTGCTCATTAGTATCTTTCAACATCAATGGAATTAAACAAAAGATACAGGCTACCAGAATGGATGGGAAAACAGGATCTATCATTCTGCTACATACAAGAAATACACCTCAGCATCAAAGACAGACAATTCCCTCAGGGTAAAGGACTGGAAAAGGGTTTTCAAGCAAATGAACCCAAGAAGCAAGCTGGGTTTTACTGAATCAAGCAAAGAGTAATAGACTTGCAAGCTAGTGTCTTGAGATTTACTACTCTTTAGATGGGGAGACCTGATTCTTTAGGGAGAGTGCAAGCTGAGAAATGATACTCTGAGTCAAACTCCACTTTTCAATGACTGTGTTGTCACAACTGCTGCTAAATTTATAGCAAGTTTGGAAATAAACTTCAACTTGTCAGTTCAATCCTGCCACCTCATTTTCATTTCCCACATAGCCTGGTCTAGGTGCTGCCAGTCATTCTCAGTGACTGTCACAGATGTAAGTGACAGTGTGTCACTATGTAAGCCCACAGTGGCTCTCTAAACTAGGTACTCATTTATTCCAAGTTTAGAAATTTAAAAAAAAAGAAGCTTGGAAAAAGTCTAATTTTGTCAAAATAAAATAGAACAATAACATTCAATATGTTAGTAAACTATTTGACAATGTACCAGACAGCTGATAGAATGTGTGTATTAAGTGAAATACAGTCACAGCTCAGAGTCTATATTTTACAGATGTGAAAACAGAAACCTGTGCTATGACTTATAATCTATATTAACCTGGTGTAGGAGGGGTGGGAGTGGAGGAGCTGGAGAGATGTTTCAGTGCTTAAGGGTACATCTTCCAGAGGACCAGAGTGCTGTTCTGGGCACTCATGTTGGCTGTCTCACAATTTATTTCCCAAGCTTGAGCTCCACCCAGGGATGTAGTAACCTCTTCTGGAATCTGCAGGCACTTTATTCATATGTCAGGCATACACACACACACACACACACACACACACACACACACACATGCTCACATGCTCACACACATAAACATGCATGCATACTCAAACACAAGTGTAAATAAAATCATAATTACATATTTAGAATATGTATGAGAAACAAACATAGAATTCGGCTCTTAATACTGTACTGCTCAAAGGACTTGTGTGATGTGTTAGTTGACACTTGCATGATGTATTAGTTGATTGACACTCTTGTTTAACACATGAAGACACTTGAAGGTCTACAAGGAATATCAGACTTATGTCAAGGCAGCATAGATATTGCTAGAATTTTTAAGTTTTGAAATACATTATAATTGGGTGTGCTATGATTTTTAGCTAGGTTTTCCTTGAACAAACTAATTGAATATGTATTTGTCAGTTCAAATACTATCTGCAAAGCCACAACTATGATAGAGTTCGTTAGAGTAAAAGTGAAGAAATATAGATCCCCCACCCTTCATAAACACATGCCTACATCACCTACATGAAGAGAAAGACACCAGACCCTGTCTAATGTTTACGGAAGTTCACACGTCATCTTGTTATACCTAGAAGACAGCAATATCACAACTCTCGCACCCTACACTCAGCCAATTCCACTGCACAAACTTTGCATTTTCACCCCTTCATTTCTTTCATCTTGGTAAGGCAGCCCCTTGCTTCCATTCTCCTTTACATCTATTCTTTTTATGTGTTTTACTCATCATAGTATGTATATTTTATTTTGCATTTCTGACCTATTTCTCAATACCTTCCTTCACTTTATTCTCATATTTATTTCTAAATTGAGGGAATGTTAGTATTTCTATTTCCTAAGTAAGAAATTATTCCTATGATGGTATGTAACTTCCCGAGGTGTCTGAAGAATAAAATCCAGACTCTGGCCACAGCAAAAACTTCCTTTTAATATTCAAGTCCCCGTATACCCATTTTTTACTACAAATTCATTACAAGTCCAGAAGCTTCCTTTCATAAAAGACATGTTAAAAAGGAGTTGCTCAAGCCTATAAATCCAAGCATTTGGGAATCTGAGGAAGGAGAACTGCCTCAAGTCAGCCTCAACTTCTCTGAGCTAAGTCAAGAAATAAGCTTCATTCCACTCAAGGAATCCCACAACAGAAGGAAAGAATTGATTCTCTCAGATTGTTCTCTGACATCCACACATGTACCAATATATAAGCCAAAACTATGACTGATGTCAAATAATAAATATTTATTGAACCATCATTCACACTGTACAGGAAGAAGACAAAGATATAACTCACAGATATTCATAATTACATCTTCAGTGAAGGAAGAGAGCATATAAATCAAATTTCAAATTTTGAATTTTATTGTATCTATAGTAAATATGACACAATAACAGCATTTGTTCTGGAAACTCATATAAATATTTTAATTATATTTTTCTTGTCTAAAAGTTTTATAAATAAAAATTATCAAACTAGATATGATATTTCCCTCTCAAAAACAATCCTTATTACTCTTCAGTCTTTTATTGTTTTATTTTTATCTCTGATTTGCTAATGGAGACACAGTCATAACCTTCAAGGTCATTTAACACATTTCTAAATCTACAAAATTTAATGCAATCACTCCAGGGAAATGCTTTTGGTTTATAAAGTCAAGGCATAAGAGAGATTCCAAAATTCTTCAGCACAAAGCCAACCAATGCATGCATGAGGCAATGTCACAGGTGAAGGCTATTTTACAGCAGACCTCATAAAGTCTGCGGATTGCTTTGCAGAGACTTGAAAATAAAGAGATGATTATGATAATATTTTGGAGGCATCCATGTCTATCAGTAGACTACAGTGTACAGATTAGGATGTGGCAGCTTTTAATCCCAACACCCAAGAGACAAAGGCAGGCAGACCACTGTGAATTCCATAGCAACAGGGGCTACATAGTGAGACCTTTCTCATAATAAAAACAGCAACAAAAATCAAATTAGCCCATCAACATCAACGTGAAAACACAATGGCTCTCAATTCTAGTTGCAATGGATTAACAGAAAATAAAAACAGTTTGGGATTGAGCCTAAATATGATGTTTCTTGTTTTACATGCTCCATTTAGAAATCTTAATGACTTCTAAAAATATTTACAAAACAGTTTGTAAACTATTCTCATGTCCAATTTTTATTTTATTTTATTCTATCCTTTCTGATAAATTACTGAGGTCCCTCAAGTTGACTGTTACAATTACTGTCAGAATTCCATGAAAGATAAACCTGTATGTTTATTGTCTGACTACATTGCTATTACATTAAAAGTACTAGCTACCCATTTTTGAAAACAGGCAGGGTGGGTATCAAAGAAGAAGGACCTCTTTGTCCTGCTAGGCTTCTTTGTGTGGTTCTTATTTTTAATTCTTCTGAGGGAATAGTATATTGTTCAATGACCTCTCGTCATAGAACTCATAGAAGCCATTGACCACCCGATGTCCTGCAGTAGGATGGGATGCACTTGGGGAAACCACAGGTGTGCATTCTAATGACATGTCACAAACAACGGTGAGAGGAAGAACATTCTGGAGTCCTATCAAACTTAAATAAAACAGGAAGCACATGAAGACTTAGAGCCAGGAAAGAAATTGAATGCTTTTAGAAACTAAGTCAGTGATCTTATAGGCTGCATTGACCTTAAGTTAGTTAACCCAGTGAAGAGCAACAGCGAGGGAGTGTGAGAGAAGATGGCAGGTGCAGAAGCCATGGGGTGGAAAGGATTTTCCATCCTTTTGATGGATGTGACTTTTCTTGTTAAAACTACATAAGTGGGAGTGGGTCATTTAATAGGTAGAAAAGCAGACCTACTAAGCTTTTTTTTATTTTTTTTTTGTAGCGTCACTGTGTTTTTTTTTTTTATTAATTACACTTTATTCACTTTGTATTCCCCCCACCTGTGGTTCCCTCCCTCCTCCTGTCCCAATCCCTCCCTTCCTCCACCCTCTGCATGAATGCCCCTCC